GGGGGAGGGGAGATTTTGAAACTTGTGAAATCCACATTGATACCATTGGGCTGCAGGGTTCCCAAGCGGAATATGAGTTGCTGTTCCTGCAACCTTCGGGTGGCATCGTTGTGGCACTGCAGGAGGCCCAGGATGGACATGTCGTCTGAGGAATGGGAGGGGGAGTTGAAATGGTTCGCGACTGGGAGGTGCAGTTGTTTATTGCGAACCGAGCGTAGGTGTTCTGCAAAGCGGTCCCCGAGTCTCCGCTTGGTTTCCCCGATGTAGAGGAAGCCACACCGGGTACAGCGGATGCAGTATACCACATTGGCAGATGTGCAGGTGAACATCTGCTTGATGTGGAAAGTCTTCTTGGGGCCTGGGATGGGGGTGAGGGAGGAGGTATGGGGGCAGGTGTAGCACTTCCTGCGGTTGCAGGGAAAAGTGCTGGGTGTGGTGGAGCTGGAGGGAAGTGTGGAGCGGACAAGGGAGTCACGGAGAGAGTTGTCCCTCCGGAAAGCAGATAAGGGTGGGGAGGGAAAGATGTCTTTGGTGGTGGGGTCGGATTGCAAATGGCGGAAGTGTCGGAGGATGATGCGTTGGATCCGGAGGTTGGTGGGGTGGTACGTGAGGACAAGGGGGATTCTTTTTTGGTTCTTATTGCGTGGACGGGGTGTGAGGGATGAGGTGCGGGAGATGTGGGAGACACGGTTGAGGGTGTTCTCGACCACCGAGGGGGGGGAAGTTACGGTCCTTGAAAAACGAGGACAACTGAGATGTACGGGAGTGGAATGCCTCATTCTGGGAGCAGATGCGGCGGAGGCGAAGGAATTGAGAATAGGGGATAGCATTTTTGCAGGAAGGTGGGTGGGAGGAGGAGTATTCTAGGTAGCTGTGGGAGTCGGTGGGCTTGAAATGGATATCGGTTTCTACGTGGTTGCCCGATATGGAGACAGAGAGGGCTGTGGGAGTCGGTGGGCTTGAAATGCTCCCCTCCCCCTACCGCATCCCAAAACCAGTCCAGCTCGTCCCTGCCTCCCTGACCTGTTCTTCCTCCCACCTATCCCCTCCTCCCACCTCAAGCCGCACCTCCATCTCCTACCGACCAACCTCATCCCGCCCCCTTGACCTGTCCGTCCTCCCTGGACTGACCTATCCCCTTCCTAACTCCCTACCTACACTCACCTTTACTGGCTCCATCCCTGCCTCTTCGACCTGTTTGTTTCCTCTCCACCTATCCTCTCCTCTATCCCTCTTCTATCCGCCTCCCACTCTCTCCCTATTTATTTCGGAACCCCCTTCCCCTCCCCCTTTTCTAATGAAGGGTCTCGGCCCGAAACGTCAGCCTCTCTGCTCCTATGATGCTGCTTGGCCTGCTGTGTTCGTCCAGCCCTGCACCTTGTTGCCTCTTGCTCCTGTATGATTTAGGTGAAGTAGGTGTCTGAAACATGAAATGTGCAGATTAGATCATGTAAGATCACTTCTGAACTTTGGATTTGTTTGGGTAGCAAAGGTACCCTTCTGGAGAAGTAAGATGTCCCCTTACAAAAACAAATTTGCTGGAAAAGCTCAGCAGATCTGGCAGCATCTGTGAAGGAAAAAACAAAGTTAACATTTCAGGTCCGGTGACCCTTCCTCAGAACAGAAAGTTGCCATTTTGGAGAGGTAAGGCACTCTTGCTGAGGGGTCAGATGCCTTTTAGGATTGTCAAAACTGTTACCGTTGTGCATCCATGTTTATTAGTTATGCTTGTGTAGTTGCATAATGTTGAGATCTGAGAGTTGAAGTTAGGAAGTGAACTTTCAACAGCTGCTTGTTTTAAAGGAGGACAGAACCAAGGTAGTTTTTATGCGTCAGGAACTGGCCTGGAAAGTAATGAAACTTAATGACTGATCTAAGAAGACTGTAGAAAAATCAGCACTGAGTGATTGTTATGCTCAGAGTTTGCAGCTGGTTGGACGTTAATTTAGTGTTAACAAGCTAGACAGAGGGAATGTTGATTATGAAGGAAATAAAGGGACGGAACTGGGTTTTGACAGTAGCAAAGTGATTTTTTGGGAAGCTTCTGGACTGGTATCTCTGTTTTGCTCTGTCTAGTTTTTTACTCCAGTTGTCAAATTGCTGAATGTACTGAGAAAAGAATCCTATTCTGTAAGAAATAAGTAAATATTTCTGGAAGTCTGTTGAAATTGATTGCATTCACCAGTAACTTCAAAAATCAAGCAAGATATTCAGTTCTACACGCTCAAGGATTTCATGAAGTCCTGGTATCCATTGTTTGAAAGTGTTTTGTTGAACTGGCAAGTTAGCTCAGTTGGCAAGATGACTGCAGAGTGACACCAACAGTATAAGTTCATTTCCTGTACCAGCTGAGGTCACCATGAAGGTCCCACGTTCTCAACTCACCCCTTGCATGAGGCAGGGTATCCATTATTTGAAAGTGTTTTATTGAACTGTTCAATTGATGGGTGCGTATGATTTTAAATCTTTGTTGACTATGAATTCAATTGTTTGTTGCAATAACTGTTTGGCTCCATTAAAGTGAAGGAATTTTAATGTGGTAAATATTTCTTTAAGAATGAATGTTTTTCTCAACATAGCAAAGTCTCAAAGAATCATACAAGACAGAAGAGGCCTTTTGACCCATCAAGTCTGTACCACAAAATACTAAAACCAAAGAATGCAGATGCTGGGAATCAGAAACAAAATTGAAAATTGGAGTTTTCCCAGCAATTTCCAATTTTGCTACATCAATCTATGCAGTCTCACTTTACAGAATGAGGCTGTTGTCTTGAATATTATGATGCTTGGAAATGCTCATCAAGTACTTGTTAAAGGTTGTGAGGTAATCTCCCTCAACTACCCTCCCAGGCAGTGCACTCCAGACCCCCATCACTCTGTGTGAAAGCATTTTCCCATTTAAACCTCCAATTTTAAAATTATGTTCCCTTGTCAATGACCCTTTGACAAAGGGAAACAGCTTCTTTCGGTCTTTCTTGGACATGCCCCTCAATGTTTTACACCTCTGTTAGCTCTCCTTCAATGTTTTCTTTGGCGCAGAAAAGGATCTTAGCTTATCCAGCCTCTCTTCTGAAGTCCTCCACCCCAGGCAACATCCTGGTAAATCTCCTCTGCAACCACCTCAGTCCATTAACATTCTTCCAGTGGTGTGGACACTAGAACTGCACAAAGTTCTCCAGCTGTGGTCTTATTAAACTTCTGTACAACACCAACATAACCTCCTGCTGTTATAATCTATGCCACAACAGATAAAGGCAAGTGTCCCATATGCATTCTTCACTAACCTATAAACCTGCCTTGCCATCTGAAGGATTTGTGGACAAATACTCAAGATCCCTCTGTACCTTTTGAGCTTTCAACTGTCCTGCCATTTATTGAGTTTTCGCTTGATTTGTTCCTTTTTTCAAAGTATATCACCTCTCAATTATCAGGGTTAAATTCCATTTAACTAATCTGTTTATATATTACTGTAACTTAAGACTGCGTTCCTCACTGTCAACCATTCTGCCAAGCTTCCTATCTTCTGCCAACTAACTTAGAATCATAACATCCTGACATTATGGAAAGAGCCATTCGGCCCATTGAAACGGCACTGACCTTCCGAACAGCATCCCATCCAGACCCAGCCCTCCACACTGTCTCTGTAACCGTGCATTTACCATGGTTAATTTACCATGGTTAATTTACCATGGTTAATCCACCTAGTTTGCACATCCTTGGACACGATGGGCAATTTAGCATGGCCAAATCGCCTAACCTTCACGTCTTTGGACTTGGGAGGAAACCAAAGCACCTGGTGGAAACCTACACAGACACAGGGAAAGCTCCACACAGTCACCCAAAACTAGATTTGAACCAGGGTCCCAGGCACTGTGAGGCTGCAGTGCTAGCCACTGAGCCACCATGCCACCCTGTTACTTACTTAACCACGCCACCCTTCCCCCCCCGCCACCACCACCTCAAATGTTCTCATCTACATTCTACCACCACCCTCTTCTGTTGCTACTCAGCCAGTTTTGAAGCTAACTTGCCAAGTTACCCGAGATCCCATCTGCTTTTGCGTTTATCTGTCTCTCATGTAGGACCTTGTCAAAGTTTTGCTGAAATGCATATGAACTCATCAACTGTACTGTCCTCATTTACACATTTGGTCACGTCTTAAAAAATTTCAGCCAGATTTGTTAAGCGTGACCACCGTCTGACAAAGTCACTCTGACTATCCCTGATCAAGCCTTATTTCTCTAAACAGAGATTAATTCTGTCCTTTAGAATTTTCTCAAAGTTTCCTTTCCATGGTGTGAGATTTGAGTGCTCCCTGGTTTATCTTTACCACCCTTCTTGAAAGGTGGAAACGTTAGTTGTTCTCTATAGCCTTGTGGCAACTCCTCAGTGGCCAGAGACCAGTTAGAATTTTGGGCCAGAACCTCTGATTTCCTCCCTCATCTCCCACTGCAGCCTTGGATACAACTCATCTAGAACTGGTTATTTGTCCATTTTTAAACCTTTAAAACCTCCAATACTTCCTCACTCCCAATGTCACAATACTCAAGAACCTCACAGTCCCTCTTCCTGAATTGTGTACCTATATCCTCCACTTCCAGAGCGAAAACAGTTGTGAAGTTTTTGTTTGACTCTGTACCAATGTCCTCCACCTCCCTTTACTCCGGAATGAACCCTACTCCTTCCCTGGTTATTCTCTTCCCTTTGATGTAGAGTCAGAGTTATGCAGCATGAAAACAGACCCTTTAGCTCATGCTGACCATAATTGCAAGCTAAACTAGTCCCATCTGCCTGTACTTAGCCCATATCCCTCCAAATATTTCTTAGTCATGTACTTATCTAAATGTCTTTTAAACGTAGAAATAGTACTTGCATCTCCCACTTCTTCTGGAAATTCATTCCACATAGGAACCACCCTGTGTTTAAAATGGAACTCACCTCGTGTGTTTTTAAAATCTTTCTTCTGTCACGTTAAAAATATGCCCCTGACCTTGAAATGCCCCACCCTCGGGAAAAGACACCTGCCAGTAAAGTTACCTATACCCCCATGACCTTATAAACCTCTATAAGGTCACTCGTCAACCTTCTATTCTCCAGTGAAAACGTCCTAACCTATCCAGCTTCTCCCCATAACTCAAATCCTCCATTCCCAGCAACATCCTGGTAAATCTCTTTTGAACCCTCTCCAATTTAATAATAGGGCGCCCAGAACGGGATGCTGTACTCCTGAAAGGCCTGACCAATGTCCTGTCCAACCTCAACATAAGGTCCCAACTCCTCTACCCAGAGGTCTGAGCAATGAAGGCAAGCGTGCTGAACATCATCTTAACCACCATATCTGTTTGTGATGCAAACTTGAGAGAATTATGTACCTGAACCCCTAGGTCTCTGTTGTACAACACTACCCAGGCTGTATTTTTCATTGTACAAGTTCTGCTTTTGTTTGTTTCACCAAAATCCATTTTTCTCGCATTTATCCAAATTAAACTCCATCTGCCACTCTTCAGCCCGTTGACCCAATTGATCAAGATCTCTTTGAATTTTAGATAACCTTATTTACTGTCCATTATACTACTAATCCTACTGCCCATCCCTTCTGTATTCTCATCTAAATCACTTGTATAAAGGACAAACAGAAGATCCCTGTCCAACACTGCTGGTCCCAGACTTCCAGTCCGAAAAAGAACTCTCCACCATAATTCTGTCTCCTGCCAATAAGCCAATTTTTTATCCAATTGACAATCTCACTCTGAATCCTAGGATGGACTTGTAGGTTATCTTGGGATTCTTCCTAATCTTTCCTGCCAGTGTTTCTCATGTCCCCTCATAGTAGATCAAAGTGTTTTATTAAATTTCCTCCAGCACACTCTATGCTCCTCTTTGGCCTCCATTGTTTTGCTCCCTTTGTGCTTGATATATGCCCCTCCTTTCCTTTTTTTATCCAATCCTGGATGTTCTGAGACATCCAGGGTTCTTTGGACTAGTTGTTTCTATGCTTCACTCTAAAGGGAACATGTTGAGCCTGTACTCTCCCCAATTCCTTTTTGAACACCTCCCACTATTCTGCTGTTGATCTAGCTACAAGTAGCTGCTTCCAGGTATAATTTGGCCAGATCCTGCCGTACTTTAATAAAATTTGCCTTCCCCCAGTCTGAACTTTCTTTTTTTGCAGACTGTCTGTCTTTTTCCCTTTCCAACCAAACTTAAAACGTATAGTGTTGTGATCGCTGTCACTAGAACGCTTCACCACTGCCACTTTGAACACCTGTCCGGCTTAGTCAGAACTCGGTCCAGCACCACATTTTACCTGGTACGACCTTCTACATACTGACATAAAGAAGTCTCCTGAATACATTTCCAGAAGTCTGCCCTCTCTAACCCCTTTTGTACTATGATTATTCCAATTAATATTGAGAAAGTTGAAATCTCCTAACGTAATCACTCTATTATTTTGCACACCTTAGTGAATTGACTCCTCTTCAATTGCCCACTGAATGTTTGGAGGCCTGTAATACACTTTTGACATTGTGACTACCTCCTTTTTATTCCTAAGCTCTACCCAAAAAGCCTCATTTGGTGACCCCTCCAAAATATTGTCCTTCCTTACTGCAGTTACTCCTTTTGCACCCTAACCCTAATCCTCTCCTGTCCTGCCTGAAGATCCTGTACTTTGGAATGTTAAGTTTCCAATCTAGTCCTTCCCTCAACCATGTCTCTGGCAACAGCACATGTCAATCCTTGCCCATAACTCGTTTGTCTTATCCGTGATACTCTTAGCATTAAAGTAGAGGCCATCTATCTTCGCCTTTCTCCCTTGAGGCTCAACATGTCCGAACTCCCTTATCCAGATTCCTTTTGTAAGGTATGCTTGCCTCTGTTGAACTGACACACTGTCCTCTGCCCCTGCTGGACTAATTTAAACAGCAATAACAAACTCGTCCACAAGGATGTTGGTCCCATTCTGGTTGCGGAGCAGACCGTCAAGCTTGTAAAAGTCCTACCATGCCCAGAAATGCCCTGGAGTGATCCAAGAACCTAAAACCCTCCCTCCTGCACCAACTCTTGAGCCATGCAAGTAATCTGCTGTTTTCTTCTATTTCTAAAGCAAAAACGGAAATTGCTGAAAAAGCTCAGCAGGTCTGGCAGCATCTGTGCTGAGAAACCATGGTTAACCATGGCTACTATAAACCAGCTGACTCCCACAGTTACCTTGACCAAACATCCTCGCACCCTGCTTCCTGCAAAGACTCTATTTCATTCTCCCAGTTCCTCTGCCTCCGTCGCATCTGTTCTGATGATGCCAAAAAAAGAGTTTAAGGAAGGGTCACTCGATTTGAAATGTTAATCCTGATTTCTCTACCCAGATGGTGCCAGACATGCTGAGCTTTTCCTGCAATTTCTGTTTTTTTGTTTCTGATTTACAGCATCAGTTGTTCTTTTGGTTTTTATCTCCTCTTTCTGATGCTGATTGATGTTGAAATTGATGCTTTTTTTCAAGGATAACCAATGATTATGCTCTACAGGGATACCGAACAGATTGTGTGTTCTTTTTTGTCGGACAGGTGTACCGCTGGTTGGGAATCTGAGAACGAGGCTGCTTGCTCTTCATGTTCTGGAAGCAGTATTACCTGCCTGTGAATCAAGTGTAGATGATGATCAAATGACACAGGTAAATAAGAAGTTCATTTTTAGCAATAACTATATATGTGTTAATGTAGTGAAGGTTTGCAGTATTATTATTCAGAAACTTGGGTTGTGAATAGAACCATGTATTCCTTTATGTTTGATTTGTATTTCTATATTATGCATGTTGAGGATATTTTAGTTTCATTTTAAATTGAGTATGGAGTTCAGGTTGTCTGCAGTTTATTTGCATATTTTTAGATGAAGTTCGTTAACAAATCCTTGAGGTGAAATTTGAAATGTTTACTTTTAAAAGTATAGGACTGGAATGCGATATACTATGATGCAGTAAAAATGAGAAAGATGCAGTTTGCCTACAGAGAGAGAGAACAGTCCAGAAGTTCAGTCAATGTGAACGTTTCTTTCAGTGTGTTTGTGTGTGGGTTTCTTTCGAGGCGAAAAGACCTGTACCAGACAGCAGTGCAGTGTAGCAGTCTCCAGAATAGACAGGGTAGGAGAAAGAAGATCTGAGAAGCTCCAGAAACAGAAGGCTATAGAACAGGAGTTTAACAGAGTCTTGTAAAGATAAGTGAGCTATATCAGCCATTTGTTTAAGCGACATTAATGACAGAAACCAGCATCGAGTGAATGCAGATGTTTGCTGGAAAGAAAACAAATATAGCTATTCCAACTGAATAATGGGCTTTAAAGTGGAAGCAGGATGACCTGTCACTAACATTTGACCGAGTATTTATAGGATTGCTCAGTGAAAAAGGGTTGAATCTTTATTGCTGACATTTGTACTAAGATTCTCTCAAGCAATTCTTATAAAATGTAAAACAGCTTTTTTTTTCCAAATATGTGTGATAAATTTTGATGTTCTTTCATTAGAAATACTCGAGCAGCTACTTTGCGAATATGTTCAGTAACTGATTAGCAATCACAAAAATGAAACTTGGGATCTATCCAGCCAGGTTTCCAGCAGAAAAAACAAACAAATTTCTGGAAAAGCTCAGCAGGTCTGGCAGCATCTGTGGAGAGAAATCGGGGTTCCACTAGACACACATTGTCCCCCCTCCATTGTCAGCCTTCTGCAGGGACCATTCCCTCCAGGATTCCCTGGTTCATTCTTCCTTCACACCCAACAGCTCCCCCCGCAGCCACACAGCACCTTCCCCTGCAACAGCAGAAAGTGTAACACCTGTCTGTTTACTTCCTCCCTCTTCAGTATCCAAGGGCCCAAACACACCATCTGGGTGAAGCAGAGCTTTACCTGCGCTTCACACAATCTAGTCTACTGCATTTGCTGCTAACAATGTGATCCCCTTTACTTTGGGAAAATGAAGTGTAGATTGGGAGACCACTTCACAGAACACCTATGTTTTGCCTGCAAAAAAGACCCTGAGCTTCCAGTTGCCTGCGACTTCAATACACCACGCTGTTCTTTGGCTAACATCTCTGTCTTAGGGATAGTAGGAACTGCAGATGCTGGAGCATCTGAGATAACAAGGTGTAGAGCTGGATGAACACAGCAGGCCAAGCAGCATCAGAGGAGCAAGAAAGTTGACGTTTCGGGCCTAGACCCTCCTTCAGAAATGGGGGAGGGGAAGGGGGTTCTGAAATAAATAGGGAGAGAGGGGGAGGTGGATAGAAGATGGATAGAGGAGAAGATAGGTGGGGAGGAGACAGACAGGTCAAAGAGGCGGGGATGGAGCCAGTAAAGGTGAGTGTAGGCGGGGAGTGAGTGAGGGGATAGGTCAGCCCCAGGAACAGCACGTCATATTCCGCTTGGGAACCCTGCAGCCCAATGGTATCAATGTGGACTTCACAAGCTTCAAAATCTCCCCTCCCCCTACCGCATCCCAAAACCAGCTCAGCTTGTCCCCGCCTCCCTAACCTGTCCCCCCTCCTACCTATCCCCTCCTCCCACCTCAAGCCGCACCCCCATCTCGTACCTACGAGCTTCATCCTGCCCCCTGGACTGACCTATCCCCTCCCTAGCTCCCCACCTACACTCACCTTTACTGGCTCCATCCCTGCCTCTTTGGCCTGTCTGTCTCCTCGCCATCTATCTACTCCTGTATCCATCTTCTATCCACCTCCCCCTCTCTCTCTCTATTTATTTCAGAACCCCCTTCCTGTCCCCCATTTCTGAAGAAGGGTCTAGGCCTGAAATGTCAGCTTTCCTGCTCCTCTGATGCTGCTTGGCCTGCTGTGTTCATCCAGCTCTACACCTTGTTATCTCTGTCTTAGGCTTGTTGCAATACTGCAGCGAAGCTCAGTGTTAGCTGGAAAAACAGCACCTCATTTTCCACTTGGGGATCCTACAGCCTTCTGGGCTCAACATCGAGTTGAAAAACATTAGGGCTTGAGCTCTCCCATGTCCTTACCTCAACCACCACCCCCCCTCCAAACCCCAGGCCTTTCTTAATACATACTCTGCTTTTACCCACATCCCAATGTTAGTCACTAACAGTCCCCATTAATAGTTATTCACACTCCTAGCCAGATTGCTATCTACTGCTTTGTCTGCCCAACTGTTCTTCACTCTGTTTGGGCTGCATCTCCACCTGTTGTTTAACTCCTTACCCCCTTCCCCCCCGACCCTATCTTCTGCTTGTAAACTGACATTTTCCGAGCTAACATCGGTTCGGAGGAAAGGTCACTCAACCCGAAATGTCAATTAATTTCTCTCCTCAGATGCTGCCAGACCTGCTGAGCTTTTCCAGCAATTTCTGTTTTTGTTTCTGATTTACAACATCTCCAGTTCTTTCAGTTTTCATGACACTAAATACATCTGTTTACAAGTGACAACACTTCTAGTAATGAATGATCATAAACTCCCTTGTACTTTAAGCGGTCTGATTTAATGTCTTGTAATATATCAGTGCACAAGAATAGGAAACCCCATTCAGTCTGCTGGATGAGAGAAATTTCAGCCAGTGTTTGCTGTCAATGTGTTCTGTCTAGTTTATTTTACGTTTCTAGGTTGTGGAACATCTTTTCTTGCTCATCTCTGATTGCATGTGGGAGGCACCAATTGCTCAGGCAAAACATATGATTCAAGCAAAGGAGAAAGAGCAAGAAATTAAATTGCAGGTACCGTGTTGTGTGCATTATTTGAAGGAAAATGTGGTCCTTTCCTTTTAGGCTAACAAATTAAAGGATAGCATAAACTGAGACTAAAGTTCAAAATGAGAATAAATTCAAAGATAATTAGGGGAGCATTAATCAAGTAATTACGGGGAACAGACAAAGAATGGAAAGAGGCGAAATGGTTAGCTCATGCAAGAGAGCCAAGGCTGAACGACTGATCATTACAATACATGGCTAAGATTATACACTTGTGAATCAGAGCAAGTTAGAGGCTATTGTGAATTTGGAAAATGCACTAAAAGATTTAATGCTAGTTAGGTAATGCCAAGTATTTGAAGTACTGCCTGGTCCACAACAGATATACATTCCTCTGAGGCACATGGACCCAACAGGAAAAATGAATCATCTGTGGCTATGTTATGGACCAAATCAAATTCCCTTCAAATTATATCAAGGAGATAGCCTTGAACCTAACTTTTATCTCATTTAAAGGCAAGTGTAAGGTGCTGTGTCCCAGATGTGATTTGATTAGTCATGCTACTATGCTTTAAGTAAAACGATTTTATTCTTATACTCGGTTAAACTACAAACAGCAGAAAGAAGAATTGGTATAACTTTAACTCTATTTGGTAAACTTTAATAGTTAAATAATCTAAGAATAGTCAATTATTTAACTATTAAACAGTAATTGTTCCAATATAGTAACATCAAATAATCACATCCTTGGCAAAGGCAAATTCAGTAAAATTGATTGTCTCACATGCAAAGCTTCTCCAGTCCAGGAGAAAAGAGCACAAAGAGAAAATTCTTGGAGAGAGAGAGAACCCCAGCCTTATTCTGTAGCTGAAAAAGATGAAACAGTTTCCCCAACCAACCTCAAAACCCAAATAACTGAAAGCTAAACTAAAATCCTGGTTCTTCAGGAGTCTGACTCCACCCACTCGTGTTGCATCTATTGTTCTAACTTTAAAAAAACGTCCAGCTTCGCAAGCTGTTTACTGTATTAGCTTGGAAGAGACGACTCGTCACATCTGTCTCAAAACCTTTCTTCAAAAAAAGACCAGGACAAAATACACCTCTTAAGGCCATAAAAGGTTCTTTGCACAAAAGTTGAGGAGACTATGAGAAGGATCAGAGTGAAGAAAGTGGGAGATTGTTCTTGACTCTTTTTTTACTGCTAAGCCAGACTTCCATAGGCCTGCGAAGTTCGGTTTCCTGCCATTCAATCCAAATTGTTATGACTTGAGTGCTTCTTGACATCACTGTGCTCATCTCGTCCCATACAGCCACAGTTAACTGGAAGTCAACACACTTGAGGTGGGTTGGAGTCATGTTGCCCATTTAAGGATTTAACTGTTGCCCTTCTGCTGTCTGTCCTACACATTGGTATGGCTTGAATTATGCAAAACTGTTAGAATCCTTATGGTGTGGAATGAGCCCATTCAGTCCATCATGTCCACACCAACCTTCTGAAGAGCAGTCTACCCAGACCTGTCTCTGTACTCTATCCCTGTAACCCAGCATTTCCCATGGCTAGTCCACCTAACTATGGGCAATTTAGCAAGGCCAGTCCACCTACTCTGCACGTCCTTGGACTTTTCCTTTTTTTTTAAAAAATTGTATGTTGAAGTTCTGTTGGATGTGTAAGTATAATTCACTTTGGAAAACGTGTTTTATTATTTCTTTTTGCAACTAAACTAGAAGCAGGGTGAAGTCGAGGAAGAAGATGAAAATCTTCCTATCCAGGAAGTATCATTTGATCCTGAGAAAACCCAGTGTTGTGTGGTGGAGAGTGGGCAAGTTCTGACTCATGGTAGTGGTGGCAAGGGCTATGGTTTAGCATCAACTGGAATTGCTTCTGGATGTTATCAGTGGAAGGTATATTAAAAATTAAATGCAAAATATTTAAAATATCTTAATAAAGATCAATGACTTTGAATCAAGTCCCCATTTTAAAGTGATCCAGTTTGACATTGTCTTTTTCTTCTGTATATTTGAAGAATATCATACAAGTACTTTTAAAATTTGTTTTCTAGTTCTATATAGTAAAAGAAAATAGAGGTAATGAAGGTACCTGTGTGGGAGTATCTCGCTGGCCTGTGCATGATTTCAACCATCGGACTACCTCAGACATGTGGCTGTACAGGGCTTACAGTGGTAATCTGTACCACAATGGGGAGCAGACACTCACCCTCTTCAGCTTTACACAAGGAGACTACATAACATGTGTGTTGGATATGGAGGCCAGGACCATCTCATTTGGGAAAAATGGAGAGGTGAACTAATCTAAATATTCTGTTTGTAAACCCCATTCTATCAAACCAGTTCAAAGTAGAAACTCTGCAATATCCACAATATGCCAAGGTGGATGTCTTTGATTTAAAAAAAGGCTATCAGGTTACGTAGGTCTTCTTAGCCTGTTGTAATTGATACATCATATATACTTCATCAAGTATACATCAGTTGGTTCATTTCTAGGATTTCATTTTTTTGCAGGTGCTTATTCAGGAAAATTAAAAACTCTTCTTACACAAAAGGAGCTCAGTTTAAACTTGAGAAATGCAGGACATTCCTTATTACCTGTTCTGGCTGAATGAAAGTCTTATTTTTAATGATGTGCGTCGATAATAGAGCAGATGAAATGTGTTTATGTTGAAGGGTTAGCATTAAGACAAGTCCTTGGTTATCCCTCAGTTCTGAGTGTTAATGCATTCCTGGGCTTTCTTAGTTCCCTTGGCAATGAATGACCAATTAACACGAACATTTATTTTCAAGTGTAATATTTTTAAAGATAAAGACTGTTGAGTTGAGAATTAGGATGTAAACAAAGAACAAGGACTGAGTTTTCTAGGACTGTTATGAACCACCTGGGGGAGGCCATAAACCAACATAATTAATTTTACTCAAATAACAAGGTGTAGACCTGGATGAACACAGCAGGCCAAGCAGCATCATAGGAGCAGAAAGGCTGAAGTTTCGGGCCTAGACCCTTCATCAGAAATGGGGGAGGGGAAGGGTGTTCTGAAATAAATAGGGAGGGGGGGGGGAGGTGGATAGAAGATGCAGTTCCTACTATCTCTAATTAATTTTACTGAATGATTATCAATAAGATTTCACTGTTCATAGGTTTTACTGTAACTTTAATTATATATTGCAAATTACATATTGATACAGCAAAGAGAAGTCTTTCCTCAATATATTGACATCACTCCTCACACAAAGTGGCACTTTCTGTTTACACAGTTCTAAAACATGCTGTTCTTTATTCATGCAGAGTAGGTCAGGAGTCTGTCTGACAACAGTTAGCACCTTTGACTTTCATACATATGATTATCATCAGAAAGGCGTACTTCTACAAATCATCTCACCCTCAGGTCATGACTGTGTTGATGATGTATCTTAATAGAGTTGCTTTTAAACTGCCTAACCAATAATGCCCTGGTTCAAGGTTTAGCCTTGAAAAAGCAGCTCTTTGGCATCTCAGTGCTATTCATATAACTTAGCACATTTTAGAACTTTTTTAGTCAGCTCAGACATTGCCTCCAAAATTGTCTCCTTTCTGGCTAAGCAGAAACCTGATCTCACTCTTCTCCCCAAGAATTGTCAAGGTCTCTCTTTCTGTTCTGTATGTTTTCTCTTTGTGCCCACCCCTGTGTCTTAGGCTCCAGCACCTCTGCTTTTAGCTCTCCTTTGTCTTTGTAGTTTTCTGTGATGTGACTTCTGGTTTTCACTAACTACTTGGTACAGTTTCAAGGTTGAGGGTCACCAGATCTCAGACCAATATTTATTCTCCAAGAAAATTGCAGTTGATCCCTTTGCTATTGATATAGATTCTTGACATTGTTTTCATGCATTCTTGTAAACAATTAGATTCCACAGGTATTTTACAGAAATTATAAATTTTCTTACTGTGCTACTTCTGGGTCAAAGTTCATCACACAGCCCAATTCTTTGAGTACACTTATGAAGACAGGACGAAGGTAAACCAATAGGCCCTTCAAGCCTGTCCCACCATTCAATAAGATCATGGCTGAACTGATTTTAACCTCAACTCTACATTCTTGTTATCTCCAATAACGTTTCATCCTCTTGATAATCAAGAATCTATCTATCTATCTCTGCCTTAAAAATATTTAAAGAATCTGCATCCACTACCTTTTTAAGGAAGGGAATTTCAAAGGCTGACAAAAATGTTTCTCATCTCCATTTTAAATAGGAACCCCTTATTTTTATACTATGACTCCTAGAAGTAGAGACTTCCTTTCAATATTCATCCAGTCAAGTTCCCTCTGGATTTATATAAATTAAAGTCAATCACCTCCGACTTTTCTAAACTCCAGAAGATATAGGCCTAGCCTGTGTAGCCTTCCTCATAAAGCAATCCACTCATTCCAGCTATTAGTCTAGTAGACCTTCTTTGAACTGCTTCCAACAAATTAACATCCTTCTGTAAATACGGTGACCAGTACTCTACACAGCACTCTATTCTGCAGTGTCCCTAATTCTATGTAACTTAAGCATAACCTCCCTGCTCTTGCATTCAGTTCCTCTTGCAACAAACAATAACATTCTATTGATGTTAAATGAGATAACAAGGTGTAGAGCTGGATGAACACAGCAGGCCAAGCAGCAGCAGAGGAGCAGGAAGGCTGACGTTTCGGGCCTAAACTCCTCTTCATTTCTGAAGAAGGGTCTAGGCCTGAAACGTCAGCCTTCCTGCTCCTCTGATGCTGCTTCGCCTGCTGTGTTCATCCAGCACTACACCTTGTTATCTCATTTAACATCAATAGAATGGTACCTACTATCTCTGAAACAATTCTATTGTTTTTCTGGTTACTTGCTGTACTAGCTCTGTGATTTATGCACTAGGACACCCTGATCCTTCTGTATCTTGGAGCTCTACAACTTCTCACCATTTAGCTAATGTGTTCTTTTCTTACTGCCAAGATGGACAATTTCACACTTGCCCATATTGTACTCCATTTGCTAGATCTTTGCTCACTTGCTTAACCTGTCTCTTCCTTTTTGTAGGCTCTTTATTTCCTCTTCACAGCTCACTTTCTGTCGTATCTTTGTGTCATCAGCAAATTTAGCTACCATGCTATGATCTCTTCATCCACGTCATTTACCTAAATGGTAAAGAGTTGAAGTCCCAACACTAAACATTATGATTTATTGCTCATGACATCCTGCCTGCCTGAAAAATATCCACTTATTCCTACTCTCTTCTTCCTGTTAGCAAGTTAATCTTTTATCCATGCCCATATGTTACTCCGACACCTCCTACTCTCTTCTTCCTGTTAGCAAGTTAATCTTTTATCCATGCCCATATGTTACTCTGACACCTCCTACTCTCTTCTTCCTGTTAGCAAGTTAATCTTTTATCCATGCCCATATGTTACTCCGACACCATGAGCTTTTATTTTCTGTGATAACCTTCGATGTGGCACCTTATAAATGCCTTCTGAAAATCAAAATGCAACATATCCACTGGTTCCCTTTTATCTACGGTGCAAGTTATTTCTTCAAAGAGCTCCAATAAACTAATTGAGCTTGATTTCCCTCTGACAAACCATATTGGCTCTATCTGAATATCTTGAACTTATCTAAGTGCCCTATGATGATATTATAATAGCTTATAACATTTTCCCAATCTCAGATGTTGAAGTAACTGACCTGTAGGTTCTTGATTTCTGCTTAACTCCTTTTCCAACAATGGTGTTACGGTAGCTATTATCCAAACTAAAGGAGCCTTACCTGAATCTAGTGCTGCTTCCTGAAATGTTTGAATATTTAATATCGGAAGTAGTTTTCAGGTAGTATTTCTGCTAAACTATTGCCTCAGCAAACGTCGGTATTCCTGTTTTGATGTATGGTCGTCTGTGTGTAGCTCATTGGAAATTACTTGTGAAAATGTATCTTCAGTCGTAGAAAGAGGGAGGGGGGTCTCAAAGTCATCCGTTAGTAGGGACTGCTGTCGTAGATGCAAAATACATTAAAATATATTTTTGGTCATCTTTTCCTTCTAGGAGCCTAAACTAGCTTTTGAAGATGTGGATGCAACTGAATTATATCCATGTGTAATGTTCTATAGCAGCAATCCTGGTGAAAAGGTAAACAGTTTTTCTCATTGAGCAATCTCACTGAGAGCTTAATGTTAGAGCATAGACTTTTTTTTTAGAATGATGTGTGCATTATATGATGAAAGCATGTCATAATTCATACTGGTTTTATATGGGGTGCTGGTAGGAACCCCAAAATAATTTTGTAGATTCTCTCAGCGGCAAGGAATGTCTTAGTTGAATCCAATTGATGCTGGACAGGTATGGGTCAACAGAATGTAAAATGGGACAGGTTATAAAATGTTGTCCATGCATAACCCTCCCTATTCTCATCATGGTTCTTATCATCAACAGAAACCTGTACTGGGATAGCGCCTTTAAAATATTTCAAGTCATTTCATAAGAGAGTTACTGGACGATATTTTGCCACTTGACCACATGAGCTATTAAGATTGGTAACTAAAAGCTAGGTCCAAAAATTAATTATGACGAACAATTTAAAGGAGAACTTGTGTGGCAGAGGGGTTTAATGAGACCTAGATAAATGAAGGCGCAGCTATTGCTGTACCTGGAAATCAGGGGTATCCTGATAGTTATCTGTGGTGAATCCAGGCAAGTTATGTTTGGACTTACTATTGGACATAATTATGGAAAATGTTGGAAATACTCAGCAGATCTGGCAGAATGGAGACAGTAAGCACTACCAATGCTGGAAGCTAGAGTCAATAAATGTGGAGCTGGAAAAGTTTTCCTGCTCCTTGGATGCTGTCTTGACTGGCTGTGCTTTTCAAGCTCCAGATCTGGTAGAATTCCTGATCAGTAATTGATGTGTTCTGACTGAATGGATTAGCTCATAATAGGTCTGATTGTCCAGACAGAGAAAGAAAAGATCACTGATGCCCTCTGCCTCCACTTCTGATGGCTTGTTGACTCTCACCACACCGCCCTCCTTCCAACAGCATGACTCTGTCATTGCACTTTCCCATGGCTCAATACTCTCATCTCCACTGAGAGCCCATCTCTCACCCCAGCCATCAAAACCCCCTCCCCATGCCTTAGGTAATTTGACTCTCACTTCTTCATTCCAGTGCCTATCCTGCCTACTCATCACCACGGCACCAGACCTTGGGCTAAGTGAGACCACTTAACACTGCACTGCTGTCTACTGTTCCAATCACAAAATGGTTCTCTTCTGCATTTCCTCCAATTAGTGAATCTATGAGCAGGAATTATAGCTGGATTAGTTCTCGTTGGGTTTAGTTAACTGTTTGCCTGTGGAGTCGATACCATCAAAACAGCAATAGTTGTATTGTAGTGGATGCGATTCTGGAATCTCTACCTCCCTAGTATTTCACTATCAAACAGACTTAACACTCAAACTTTACTTTCAAAGGTGTTCTCTGTGTTTTTCATCTTGTTAATTGGTTGGTTCTAATTGCTATTTTACATGAGAATTTCATGTGATGAACCATAGCTGTTGTGATGATTCCTTTCTGTAAGCTTTTATTTTAAAGCTGCAGAAACGAGGATTTTGTGAGAATATAACTTTGATGGCATACTCAGTTAAAAGATTGTTACGTTTGGGCTTTTCAAAATATTAATACATGCATTTCTGCCTTTAAAAAAGGAGGACTAGTTGCAGAACTTTCAGTCAACCACATAGGACACTTTGAAGGCAGCCAGCCAGGAGATTGAAAAGTTGTGTGTACATATATGCGTGTGAGTGAGAAATAGAATTAGACGATATGTTTGGTTCTGCTGTTTTTAATTGTGCTGCTGGAAAAGTAACTGAACTTGAGTTTTGCTTGGAAGTTCCAAGGGCAGTTGGCTTTCTCTCTGAGAATTCAGGAAGAGGTTTTGGGAAGTTAGTAGGTAACTAAATGTTAGAGTCAAATCTACAGAAAAGTATTGAGAACTGTAGGGTTTGGGGCTTAGAAGATGTATACTGATATACTTCAGTGGAGCCGAGAGCAGAGAGATTAAAATGTTAACAAGGATTTGCTTGATGCAGTTGAGTGAGATTAGAATTTAGAAAAGAAATATCCATGAGTAGTTCTAGCTTGGTGAAACTAGCTGTTATTGGAAGCTGTACCTGAGAGTAAATACTGGAGTGAAAATTCTGGAGTCCATCTGATCATAGGCCCAGCAAACGAGGATGATGACCAGAAATGCAGCAATCATTGAGGCAGTCCATGACAGAAGCTTTTGAGAGGGAGTTTCAAGGCCGGATTGGCAGAAGTGAATAGTTGATATCCTCTGCGAATGTTAAGGTGGTTTGATGAACTACTGTATTATTAATGCCTGTGGAGAGTTTTTGAGAAATCTCCTAGGATCTGTATTGATTGCATTCGCTGTTTCAAGTATGCTATGGGGTGCTAGATTGCAATCTGTTATCCATCTTTACCATATTTTAATTCTGTGTTACAATATATCTTGTAAATGCATTGTAGATTATATTACTGTTCTAATTTTGTGCAGTAAAGTTTAGTGCTGTTTATTCAAAACCATTGCATCTTGTAACTGTGCTCCCTTAGTGAACCCACTGAATCTCACACTTAGTCACTTTCTTTAAAGTGAAATAGCTCCATAATCAGCTTGACGCATAAATTTGGTCGTCTGCAGAAGAGATATTAAATTATTAGTAACAACATGATAAGTAGAAAGGTCCACTGAATAGGCACTTATGCACTGCATGCTGGACTTATGTAGGTACGCAAGAAATTGGTATTGGAACTTGTTCTTGTTTAACAATCAAATAAAATGGAGAAACTATGGGTTGCAGTAATTCAAAAAAAAATTTGGCCACCTTTTAATTAACAATATGCTATCCTGTTTGAATCTGATGATTGCTTTTGCTTCCAGGTTAAAATCTGTGAAATGCAGATGCGGGGCACACCAAGGGATCTATTACCTGGTGATCCTATCTGCAGTCCTGTAGCCACTGTCCTGGCAGAGGCCACTATTCAACTCATCCGTATTCTGCATCGTACAGATAAATGGACCCACTGTATAAACAAAAATATGATGGATCGTTTGCAGAAAGTCAAATCTTGCTTAAAAGAAGTCAGCCAGAAATTAAAAAAGAGTCGCTCTGTGCAAAGCAGAGATGAACATGAAATGAAAGAAGAGAGCAAGGAGGAAGAAAAAGGAAAATATAGCAAGCATGGTTTGGCAGAGCTCTCAGAAATCCAGCTGCGGACCCTGTGCACTGAGGTGTGGCCTGTGCTTGCAGTAATTGGTGGTGTCGATACAGGTCTTCGAGTTGGAGGGAGGTGCGTTCACAAACAGACAGGGAGGCATGCTACTCTGTTAGGTGTACTCAAAGAAGGGAGCACTTCAGCAAAAGTACAATGGGACGATGCTGAAATAACAATAAGGTAGGTGCGATATTAGCCTTTAGTGGAACTAACTGGTTTTGTTTACAAGTACTTATAATGCATGTGGCCATGCCTCTTTTTATTAATTGTGCTTGTGTTGAAATTATATCCTTTTTTTGTGTCGTCCACCATATTTATAGTGGATATTGCTTTATGACACTTCAGATTGTATCTGTAGTGTATGATAGAAAGGTGTTAGGAAATTCCATGCTTTTGAATAACTAAGATTTCGATAATTTAGTTTATGCATGTAGATCTGTAAATGCATTACATATAAATACATTATCATATTCATGGAACTCATGCTCCCTATCACTAGTCACATTCAAAGCAAGTGCACGTTTTTGAGGCCTTATTGTCCTTAGGACAGCATAATGGCTCGTTGGTTAGCATTGCTGCCTCACAGAGCCAGGTTCGATTCCACCCTCAGCCTGTGGCCACATGGGTTTCCTATGGGTGATCTGGTTTCCTCCCATGGTCCAAAGATGTGCAGGTCAGGTGGATTGGTCATGCTAATTTTCCCATAGTATCCAGAGATACGTAGGCTAGCCATGGGAAATACAGGGGTAAAAGGGATAGGGTAGGAGGATGGATCATCGTGGGCTTGATGGGCTAACTGGAGAATGTGTTTTTTTTTTTAATATGTTCATGGGCTGTGTGTGTCATTGGCTAGGCCAATGTTTTTGCCCATCCTTAACTGCCTAGATGGCTGTTAAGAGTCAACCACATTGCTGTAGGTCATGTATGTCAGACGAGCTAAGGATGGCAGATTTCTCTCTCTCTAAAGGGCGTTAGTGAAACAGTTGCTTTTATAATGATTGACAATGGCTACACAGTCGCATTAGCTTAGCTTTTAATTCCAGATTTTCATGGAGTTTGAACACACGTTACCAGAATTTTAACCTGGATTGCTAGTCCATTGACATTATCACTATATCATTTCCTCCCAATTTAAAATTTAATTCAAAGTATATCAAAATCTGTAAGGTCTGTCATATTCGGATACATTTATTACGTGGTGAGTCATTTAATTCGCTCTGTGGCTGATTTTCTTTTTTCCATAACTTTGATGTTTCTTCTTCAAAGTTGTGTGTTTTTGAGTGGCCACAGATTGTTTTGGTTTATTTTTTTTTTAACCTCAACAAATGCATGCATTTCTTATGTAAATTAAAGCCATAGTTGTATTTTGCAATCAGTTGCAAAACAGCAGCTTTTACAATTGATCAAAAAAATCCTCTTGTGGCACAGTGATGTCGTCCCTGCCCTGAACCAGGAGGTCCAGGTTCAAGTCCCACCTGCTCCAGAGACGTGTGATACTACATCTGAGCAGGTTGATTTAGGAAACAAAAGCCTCCCACAAAAGTCTAATGATCTCTGTTTTTATCTACATTCCTGACAACTGTTTGAATTTGGCACCAAGTCAAGCGATCGCTAGACATGCTGCAATCATGTTTGTAAGCTAGTCACATTGAAGTATTCTCACACATAGTTAATCGGGAAATTCTAAGCGCTGAATCATCTTATTTTTAGTTTAAAATTCTAGATAGCGAAATAAAGATTACAAACATTTTTTAAAACGGATTTTCTGAAAATTTTACATTTCTGAACTATAAACTTAGATTTTAATGTGGGGTGAAGTGTTTACTGATAATTGAGAACTAATATGTCATTAACCAAGTTGCATGCCTTTCATCAAGGTGTAAACTTTTTCAAGGGTAAGACTAAGAATATGAGTGGAAATTTTTGCCATTTCATTAATTTTCCAGTGATTGCAAACTGGAGAAACACCAATAACCAAGTGTAGAATTCCTAACAGCAACTTGTGTTTTTCTGGACCTGTGGATTCCAGAAGTCACTGTCAGATTTAGTAGATTAATGATTACGACTACCAACATTTTGGATGATGTTACCACCTCAAAATCCAGGCCTTCATTTGACAATATTGTCACAAATTGTGATTGGTTTTCAATATTGTACAGCTATTGCATAATAGAGTCCCTTCATTTCAAGTTGAGAATTTATTGCATCCCATCATTTAACATGGGGAAAAATGGGAATTCTCATTCATTTTAAAAACACAATGTTACAAAAAATATAAACTTGATGGGATCGGTCTGTAACTTAATTCATTCGGTTCCTTACATCTGAGTATTTCTGTTCAGTGAAATGTTAAAAAAAAATTATGAAGTGGCAAATATTTTGATAAGAATTATTCATTTTTCTAATTTATCTTGACGTTAATTTTTCAAATTTAAATTGCTGTATTCTTGTGATTTCTTTTTATGGATATAACTGTAGATTCACTACTGGTGAAACTGCTATCAAAAGAATTTGAGATTAATAGACATTTGAAAGTCTTGCTTGCATGTATCATAAACTTTTTGCTTTGAAATTAGAGCTCAAAATTCTAAGCTACCGAAAGGAAGTGATTCATTTATCTTTCTCTCTTCTCTCTATAAAAAGTGAATTTTAACATATTTTAAGCTTATCCCGGTATGCCAATCCGTAAAATTCATGTCTTTCAGCATCTGTATGCTTATTCTTCCATAACAGTCTTTTGTACATTCCTCCTTTCTATCCCTCACTTGCTTTCACCCATGTCGTTCTGAATCTGATTAAAGCTTCCCTACTTCTTGGTCACCCAGTGACACACCGCTGTACAACTTGGAACCCTGTGACCCACTGCCTTTCGATGTCTCACGATTCCGTGGGTTGACTGCTTCTCTGCTGCTAGACCTCACCTACTTAACTGGTGTTCATGAAGATGGAGCTAAACAGAGTGCAAGAAGGCATGAGAAAAAGCACAGGCATGAATCGGAAGACAAGGCAGAGATGGAGCAGAAATTCGAGGCAGATCTCACTAAAGAAACCATTGATCGAGTGATAACACAGTCAACTGAGGAGACAAAAGGTTTTATGCAAGGTGGAGCTTCCAATTCACGATCAGAAAATGACATTTCAACTTGCACTGTGGATTCTGTGCATCTTGGTTTAGATTCTCAACATCATCTGCTGGATGGAAAACGAAAGCCTCATGAGCATGTACTGAGAAATCATGATTTAATTCAATCAGAAATTCGAGCAGTTCAGTTATCCTACTTGTGTCTTGGTGCTATGAAGACGCTTAGTGTTCTGCTTAGCTGTAGCAAGTATGCAGAATTGTTGCTAATCCCGAAAGTTTTAACTGAGAGTGGCCACAATTCAGACTGTGCTGGGTCACCAGTTATTCAGGACGATGTAGAAATGAGAGCTGCGCTCCAGTTTCTGATGCGCCACATGGTGAAACGGGCTGTCATGCGCTCACCAATTAAGAGAGCATTGGGACTGACTGATCTCGAGCGTGCACAGGCCATGATCTATAAACTGATTGTGAATTCGCTGCTGGACGATCAATTTGGTGGCAAAGTTAAACAAGGTATGGCTATTTATGAATGTAAACATGATAATGGTTAGGCTGCCAAGAATCGGTTGCTGGATAGGTTTAAGAACTACTTTGTTTGGATAAATCACTAATATCTGCAAGCCATATTTATAGTTGCCATACTGACTAATTCAAATCTGATATACAGTACAATTAAATTTACAAACATGCATGGAATCCATGCAAAGTATAATAATAATGGTTCATTTCAATTGCGCTGCTCTGTTTAAGATGTCTGCAGGGCAGTTCTTTGGTTTCCCTCTTTTACAATTGGTAACCTTCAGCCTCATCATGTCCCCTGCACAAAAGAAATCTTGAAACTAAGAACAAGAGAACAACATGTTCTCAGCCTGCTGATAAACAAGATGTCTGGGGGACTGTCAAAATGCTACTGACAAGGGGTCCCCAATTCACGAATGACCATTATGATGAAAAACTTCCTATATTATTAATTTTAAGCATCCGACATGCGAATGTTCGCTTGCACTTACGAACAGATATTCTAATTTGTACTTCGTTGTCTTCCAACTTGCATACAAATTGACTAACAACCATGCTGAGGAATGGAACTTGTTTGTAACTCAGGAACTGCCTGTAGGTATTGATGTGTATTCTCACTTTTTGTGATAGAGGGAGAAAAGGAGACTTTCCGTACAGGGATTTTGTCAGGCCCCTTCCTGTTACAATTTTTTCTCACTGTTGGATGACCTTTAATATTATGGGTCGGGGGCTCAACATTTGATTATGTTGAAGAAAATTACAAAAGACTGTTTATTGCAAAAGATGGGTTTACTTGGCAGTAAAAAGAGTGATTATGACCAATACCTCTTCATTATTAGTCAATGGTAGAGCTGAGCTGAGTCTAAACTGGGGAAACTTCTTTCATGCTCATAATGACTACTTTTGACTATTGTGTTCAGTGAGGGTCATTCCCCATGTAAATTCCTGTTAACCTTTGACAAAAATCAAAATTACTGGAGAAACTCCAGATTACCAGAAGGATGTGGATGCTTTGGATAGGGTACAGAAAAGATTTACCAGGGTGTTGCCTCGCATGGGAATTTTAGCGATCAAGAAAGGTTGGATAAACTGGGTTTGTTTTCACTGGAAGTGGGAGGTTGAGGCATGACCTGATAGAAGTTTATACGATTGTGAATGGCATGGATAGAGTGGAAAGTAAGAGGCTTCTTCCCAGGGTAGAGTGGGACACAGGTTCAAGGTGCAGGGGTGGAGTTTAAAAGGGATGTGCAAGGCACATTTTTCACACAAAGGTGGCGAGTGCCTGGAACGTGCTACCAGAGGAGGTGGTGGAAGCAGACACAATAGCAACGTTCAAGAAACACCTGGACGAATACATGAATAGGAAGGTAATAGAGGGATACAGATCCTGTAAATAAAGGTAGTTTTAGTATGGAAGTGTTTGCCTTGGTTAAATGTGTGGTGCAGGCTTGGAGGGCTGAAGGGCTTATTCCTGTACTGTATTGTTCTATATCGAACATTGTACAGTGCAGGAACGAGCCCTTTGGCCCACAGTATTGTGCCGAATATGACGCCAAATGAAACTAAAAATCCCTTCTGCTTCCCTTGGTCCACATTCCTCCATTCCTTGCATAGTCACGTGCCTATCTACAAGCCCCTTACCTACTCTTACAGTATCTGCCTTCACCACCAACCGTGGCAGTGTGTTCCAGACTCCTTGCACACTTTTTGTGAAAAAGACAATTGCCCCTCACATCTCCTCGAAGTTTTCCCCTTTCACAGTAAATACATGCCTCCTGGTATTAGACATTTCAACTCTGGAGAGAAAGGGTTGACGGCCAGAATCTAACTATGCATCTCACAATTTTATTGACTTCCATAAAGTCTCCCCTCAGTCTCTGCTGCTCAAGAGAAAACATCCCAAGTTTTTCTAGCCTCTCCTTCTAGCTCATACCATCTAATACAGGCACCATCCTGGTAAACGTCTTCTGCACCCTGTCCAAAGCCTCCACTTCCTGTAATGTGGTGGCCAGAATTGAATGGAGTACTCTAATTATGGCCTAACCAAAGGCTTATAAAGCTACAACATGACATCCCGACTCTTGTACTCAATTCCCTGACAGACACAGGCAAGCATGCTATATGTTGCCTTCTTTACCTTATGTACTTGCATGGCGACTTTCAGAGAGCTATGAACTTGAACCCCAAGGTCCTTCTGTATATCAATGCTGTTAAGACTGCTGCCATTGACTGTATACTTTTCCTTAACTCTTCCAAAGTGCAGCACCTCACACTTGCGTGGATTAAACTCTATCTGCAACTGATCTATGTCCCGCTATATCCTTTGGGAACCTTCTACACTATCCACAACTCTAATGATCTTCGTATCCTGTGCAAAAGTACGCACCCACCCAAAAAAATTAGAAGATAGGCGCAGGAGGAGGCAATTTGGCCCTTCAAACCTGTTCCACCGTTCATTACAATAACAGCTGATCATTCATCTCACTAGCCTAATCCTCCTCTCTCCCCATAACCTTTGATCCCATTCTATCCAAGTTCTTTATCTAGGCACCTCTTGAATACGTTCAATGTTTTCGCATCAGCTACTTGCTGAGGTGATGAATTCCACACGTTCACTACTCCTTGTTTGAAGAAATGTCGTCTCATCTCTGTCCTAAATAGTCTACGACGGTGGCCCCTGGTTCTGCACGCACCCACCATCGGGAACACCCTCCTTGCATCTACCATGTCTAGTCCTGATTAGAATTTTAGAAGTCTCTATGAGACCATACCCCTTCCCCCAGCCAGTCATCTGAGCTTCAGTCCTAACCTAGTCGATCTCTCCTCATACGTCAGACCCGGAATCAACCTGGTAAACCTTCGCTGCACTCCCTCGAGAGCAAAAGCATCCTTCCTCATAAAAGGATACCAAAATTGCACACAGTGTTCTAGGTATGGCCTCACCAAGGCCCTGTATAACTGAAACAATGCATCCCTGCTCCTGTACTCGAAACCTCTTACAATGAAGGCCAACATACCATTTGCCTTCTTTACCACCTGCATGCTTACCTTCAGTGACTGGTACACAAGGACTCCCAGGTCCAACTGCACATACCCCTCTCCCAGTTTACAACCATTCAGGTAGTAATCTGCTTTTGCTTCCAAAGTGAATAACCTCGCGTTTATCCAAATTATACTGCATTTGCCATTGATTTGTCCACTCACCCAACCTGTCCAGATCATGCTGAAGGATCTCTGTATCCTTGTCACAGTTCACCCTCCCACTCAACTTGGTATCATCTGCCAACTTGGAGATGTTACATTTTGTTCCCTCATCCAAATCATTAATATACATTGCGAATAGTCGGAGTATCAGCACCAAACCGTGTGGCATCCCACTAATTATTGCCTGCTACTTTGAAAAGGACCCACTCATTCCTACTCTTTGTTTCCTCTCTGCCAACCAAATTCCTATCCATCTCAATACAGTTGCCCCGATTCCATGCGCTTTCATCTTGTACAATAATCTGTTATGTGGGACTTTGGCAAACGCTTTCTGAAAGTCCAAATGTACCACGTCGACTGGCTGTCCCTTGTCAACTCTACTCGTTACATCTTCATACAATTCCAACAGATTTGTCAAGCATGATTTCCCCTTCATAAATCCATGCTGACTCTGTCTGATCCTGCCACAGCTTTCTAAATGCTCTGCGATAAAGTCCTTGATAATGGAGTTGAGAATTTTCCCCATTACCGATATTAGGCTTGCTGGTTTATAATTCCCTGTTTTCTCTCTACCTTGCTTTTTGAATATTGGAGTGACATTTGCTACCGTCCAATCTGCGAGGACTGATCCAGAATCTCTCCAATCCTGGAAGATGACCACCAATGCACCCGCTATTTCTAGAGCCACTTCCTTAAGTACTCTGGGATGTAGATTGAGGTCCTGGGGATTTATCCACCTTCAATCCCATCAACTTTCCCAGCACCATTTTTGTACTGATATTGATCTCCCTCAATTCTTTCCTCTCACTAAATGTTGTATTCTTCAACATTTCTGGTATCTGATTTGTGCCCTGTTTTGTGAAGACAGAACAAAAGTATGGATTTAGTTGCTCAGCCACTTGTTTGTCCCCTGTTATACTTTCCCCCGTTTCTGTCTGCAGGGGACCTACATTTGTCTTTACCAGTCTCTTTCTCTTTATGTACCTACATAAGAACATAAGAACATAAGAACTAGGAGCAGGAGTAGGCCGTCTGGCCCTTCGAGCCTGCTCCACCATTCAATAAGATCATGGCTGATCTTTTCGTGGACTCAGATCCACTTACCCGCATTCTCACCATATCCCTTAATTCCTTTATTGTTCAAAAAAAACTACCTTTTTTTAAAAACGTTTACTGAAGTAGCGTCAACTACTTCACTGGGCAAGGAATTCCATAGATTAACAACCCTCTGGGTGAAGAAATTCCTTCTCAGTTCAGTCCTAAATCTGCTCCCTCTAATCTTGAGGCTATGCCCTCTTGTCCTAGCTTCACCTGCCAGTGGACACATCCTCTCTACTTCTATCTTATCTATTCCCTTCATAATTTTATATGTTTCTATAAGATCCCCCCCTCAATCTTCTGAATTCCAATGAATATAATCCCAATCTACTCAGTCTCTCCTCATAAGCCAACCCCCTCAACTCCGGAATCAACCTAGTGAACCTCCTTTGCACCCCCTCCAGTGCCAATACATCCTTACTCAAGGAGACCAAAACTGCACACAGTACTCCAGGTGTGGCCTCACCAGCACCTTGTACAGCTGCAACATAACCTCTCTGCTTTTAATTTCAATCCCTTTAGCAATGAAGGACAAAATTCCATTTGCCTTCCTAATTACTTGTTGTACCTGCAGACCTACCTTCTGTGACTCATGCACAAGGACACCCAGGTCCCTCTGCATAGCAGCATGCTGCAACTTCTTACCATTCAAGTAATAATCCTTTTTACTATTACTCCTACCAAAATATATG